CAACTACTCCATTTCCGTGATATATGCATATCAATCGTGTGAAGGCTGCTATGTTCAACTACTCACGTCATTCAAGTTTGAACGGTTATCTTGACCAAGTTCAAAAATCTGAAATTTTCAAAATCCCGCCCAAACACAGCCCTAGCTCTAAATTGCCTATAAATACTCGCATTCAGCCCTATAAGAAGGGGGATTTTTTTTTACCTCTGAAGGAGACGTTCATTTTGTTTAAGTTTTTCCATTGCGCCAGATTTGACCTTGGATCGAAGCACCCTTGTTCACTGCCCTATAGCAGGTAAATTCACTCCATGTTCTCCCTGTTTTCTTGGTTACTATATTAAAATGTTACATATGTCGTAGTAATCTCTGCTCATTTTAGCTATGATAGAACAACGTTTCAGATGTGTTTCGACTTATTCAAGACTCGTAATAATCGAAAGTCGTTTTTCTTTCATGTTCAACCATCTTGTAGTTTAAAGAAATGAGTTCTTTTTGTGCTTAAATCTTTATTTTAAGTCAAGTTAGTGTTGTTGTGATTTAATGACCTCTTATGTCTTTACTTAGTAACCAATCTTAAAGTTCTATCGCAAGCTACTCGTTTCCTAGGAAGTAATTGCAAGCATACTGGATGTTAGTTTTCCATTATATATGATATGAATTTTTGCTAAGTTTATTCCCTGTTATATTTCCCTTAGCAGACATGTATGTATTATGTATGTGTTCCTTTTCAGATTGTAAGTAACGGCATATTAAAATCTCAAATCTTGTTTGATGTGATATCTCTTTAGATAATGATAATCTCCTTATAGTTAATATTAATGGGTTGATTTCATATTTTATTAGAACGATAAATCATGTTTAGTAAATAATTCTATTTAGTTTAGCCATAATGGCAATGAATTATTTTCGAGATTGATATAGCACTTGAGCTCTGTTTCTTGGCATATTAGACAACTTGATAATATTACTTGAAATCAGTTTTCTTGTTAGTTAATGTCCCTCTGACGTCTTTTGTATGATGAAATTTTTTTTAGCTTGTGTTTTGCTCTTACTTTAAAAGTATGCTAAAAAGAGTTGATATTTGTTGTTGATTATTTTTAGAAATGATATGCAAGTTATTCTTAATTTGCTTTATGTGTTTATTTTATTTATTTATTTTTGTTAGAGTAAGAAAGATCATGATCCTTGGCATGTTATCTAAGATTTCTATATTGTCTCTATGTGTACAAAATATAGATTTAAAATCCTTTTGCTTAATTCATTAGTTAGTACAGTTGGATGTTTTGATTTTCTTCCAAGTGTTTCGTAAGGGCTACTTAAAATGTCTTAATATCTTAGTTTGAGTTTTTCCGTTCAGCATTAGTATGCTTTATATGTTAAATATTATATTTGATGTATGATGTTACTTAATTAGTATTATCTATTTTTATAATATTGCTTAAAGTCGAATATCTTACTAATTCATTTTATCTTCTCTTTGTTTGCATGAATACTTTGGAACAAAAATGGAGTCTCGATTAAGGACTCTCGCAAAATCGAGTCTCATAGACTCAACATTATCCTCATACCCGCACATGGAGTTTTTTTCACTACATATTTGACCATTCGAAATTGCAAGCGAAATTAGTGGCCCTGTCTTGGAGTCACTTATGGCTACTTACATTTTTTTTTCATTATTTGTTTACATGTTTTTCTTTATATGTTACACTAGTTTACGTGACTTGAAGATATTCTTATCTTTGAATTCTCAAATAGGTAACTTAATATAGATGTTTGGGTTTGGGTACCTTTAGCTAGCAATAAACCTATTAGTTAATTACTTTAGCTTTTATTAACTTCACTTGAAAAAATCTTCTTAAACACTTCATTTTGCATCACTTTAAACTCACTAATTTTTCTTAGTTTTGTTTAAACTTGGCAATGTCTTATAAAGAAAATATTTTGTTCTAAACCTTTTTTCTTTTTCTTCTTTCTTGAACTTTTTCTAACGAGAGTACCTTGTCAATCAATGAACAAGCGTCTATTTTTAAGTACTTATTTTTAGTCATGGATTTATCTAAATGGATCTAAAGAAATTACTCTTCCCTAAATCTTTTTCACTCTAATACAATTGTAATAAGAGCTTTAAAATAAATAATGTTTTCCAACTTGGCTACTCAATTACTTAATCTTTAGCATTCATTTCTTTTAAAAAAAGTAATTAACCTAAGTTTGGCCGGTTAATAGTTTTAAAACTAATCTTAAAGGATGCCTTACCCCTTCCCTTTAGGATGAATTAGAACTCTTACCTAAAATCACATAAGTTAGTAGACCTTAATTGAAGTCATTTTTTAGCATTACATAGTTAATAATTTAGGTATCCTAATTTGCCTTAAAAATAATTAGGTGGCGACTTCTTAAATTAATTAATTTGGAAATTACCAATATGTTGTACACTAATTTGACCTTGGTTAAATTGGGGTATAACAACTTGGCGACTTCACTGGGGAATTTAGGTTCTAAACCATAACAAACTTAGGTTAATAATTAAGTTTTTAACACCTGCTTGTTTCATTTTTGTCGTTTGTTTTATTTTAAATGCCTAAGTGCTTTACTTATCATGCTTATATGATATAAACTGCTTATTTGTTAATATTATATATTAATTGTTTATTTGCTACTCTTCATATGAACTGTCATTCCGATCATAGCTCCTCCAATTCTGGAAAACTCACACTATCACACGTACACGCGAGGTGTGTTTTGCGCACCCGCAAATTTCTTTCAAAATCCCAAATTTAGGAGAGTTGGCATATGCGCGGGGTGTCCGGATCTTTTTCCGTGTGACCGCGTAGCCTTCTCACTCGAGTTGTCCACTCGGGAACCTTGTGTCTAGTAAGCCAAATCTTAGAAAACATAAGATAGAGCTAAACCACCCCTTAATTTAAGTCATGCATGCATTCACCTTAGGTGGATCGATCCCGGGTATCGAATCCACATTTAAGAAATCTACCCTTTTGTCGACGGGTTTCATGACCCAACGACCAACAAGCATGTTTTGTGCAACGTGATGATGATAGACAGATCCAAGCCTAATTTTGACATAGCGAGTTTGGAATTTATGTGTTCATTTCATTTCAATTTGTAATGTAGGATGAGTTCAATTCCCCAAGTGTCCAAAGTTAGGATGGTCGAGGGTTTCCCGCACAAATTGAGGACATGGTGGGAAAATTTCACTCCAACTGAGAAATTAGCGATTACAAGAAGGTTGGGGTGCCTCCCTCTGCTATTCAAAATCACCCCCGACAAACACGTGATTAGAGCACTAATTCAGTTTTGGGATCCAGACCGTGTTGTGTTCGCCTTCAAAGACTTTGAACTAACCCCTACATTGGAGGAAATCCTCTATTTCACCAGTTTGAAGTATCAAAGAATGGGTCAAATTATTCCACACAGTCAATCAGGGAAGAAATTCCTTCGCTACTTAGGGTTGAAAAATGAAAAGAAACTTCGGTGCTTCGAAAATAATTGGGTTTCTTTGGACTACCTATATGAGAGGTATGGACGCTCGGATAGTTACAAGCTGTTTAGGAAAGAATTCTCTTGTACTCAAGTTCATTGGCAAGTCAGACGTCCTATTGCATTTGCTGTGGCTTTACTAGGGACTTTGGTATTCCCACGAGAACACGGATGCATTAGCACTTGCATATGTTCTGTGGCTAAAGTACTTTTTGAGGGAGTAGATGGCGAAGAACTCACTGTGGTTCCCATGATTTTAGCAGAAATATTTCGAGCTCTTGGGAAATGTAAAAGAGGGGAATCAAACTTCTTTGAAGGTTGCAATCTTCTTTTACAAATGTGGGCAATGGAACATTTTCACCAACGTAAAAACATGGATGATATATGTTTTAGCAACATAAATCATATTAACAGTTTTTACGAAAGGATGAAAGAGTTTGTGTATCCGGTTGGTACTGATGATTGGTATGAGTTTCTGGCCCACCGCACTAGTGACCAAATTCAGTGGAAATATCCATTACTCCCACGTTCCCCTGCTTATATAAGATGTAGAAGGTTTTATTATATCGAGCTTATTGGGTTAAAAGGTCTCCAGCCATATGCTCCAGTGCGCGTGCTTCAACAGTTTGGTCAACCACAAGTAATTCCTCTTCGAGCAAATATGGGGAATTCTGAAATTTCCTTTGGACCAAACTTTGAAGTCCCTAGAGCCAAAGAGATTCTTCATGAGTGGGACAATATCCTCACGATAGATATCGGAAATGGGCCTGAAAAGGAAATTCCAGAATACCATGTATGGTTTCAAGAAGGTCGCAATAGCATAAGTTCAGAAGGTGAGCAAGGTTTTGAGGATATTGGAACGACGATTTGGATAAGACATTCTCGTCTTGGAACCAAAATAGTTACTCCTGAAATGTGGGCTCAAATGGAAAATATAATGCGATATTTGGACAATGCGGGAGCAGGACCTAGCAACGTGGGAGCATCATCTTCACTTCCTCCACCATCGTGATTGATAGCAGTTTAGGCCAAGTCTTAGATTTGTCTTTATATTATGTCATTTTTTATGTATTTCTTAGTTTCTTCGTTGTACTCTTTTATTTGTGTTAATGAAAGCTTGGCCTTTTGTTTCCCAAACTCGAGTTGTCACAAATTAATGGCTTGGATCAATCTATCATAAAAACGTTATGTTTGACATTTAGGCCCACCTCTGGCAAAAAGAGGTCCCGTGCATATTAGGATGCATTTTCTTTTTGAATATCTGTTTTGTTATATGATTTACTTGCTGCGTAACACATGTTTGTTCTCTATTTATTTACTGTTATTATTCAATTATCTGCCTAATTATTAATATTATTGAAACAACGATCACCCACTTGATACTAATATTTCTCTCTTTTGAAGGTTTTCTTCCTTTTGATTTATTTCCCCAAAGGTTGATTTGCGTTGACTACGAACTGGCGGATCATCCATACTTTACGAGATCAAAAGCACGTGCCGACATGACTGATTCCGGTGCATCTGATCAAAATGGTTTGGGACTTGTCACTGTCCTGAGAGATGAACCCGAGACTTCGGAAGGAATGGAACCAATCCCTTATGATGTACACATTGCCAATTTGATGCAAAAAATGGCCGATATGCAAAGTGAGATTGATCGACTTCGAAACCTCACTAATTTGTCCATCACTTTGAACACGCCACTTCCCGAGCAGGGAACAAACACAGCTACCCCGCCTCTTTTTCCACATGTTGACTCTCCTACTCCTCAATATTTTCCACCAAACCCTTCCCTTCACAAGACCAATCCAACTGCTTCCAAACAATCCACCAACCCTCAACAACCCAACTTTCCACAAAACAATTCGCAACAAGCCAACCCTTTACCCTTCACTACCCCATATGCTCCCCAAACTTCACTTACCCAAACTCCGGTCATCCAAACTAACCCACTTACCCAAACTACCCCACTCACCCAAACTGCCTTACCTTCCCAAAAATACCAAACGACCCAACATATACCGGTGGCACACACTGCAATCCCTAACATGCAATATGTGCCTCAAGTATATGTAGCGGAAGCTCAACCTTTCCTTAATCCAATGCCAACCCTGCCAGAAGTCGATCCATATGAAGAGATGGAGAAAGAAGCAAGGTCAAGAACAGATGACAATGTAGCAAGGGAGATTCGTAATTTGAAGGAAGCTTTCAAAAATATCCAAGTCCATAAGGGGGTTGAAGGTCTTGAATATGAGGATTTATGTGTTCATCCCGATGTTGAATTACCCGTGGGGTATAAGGTACCAAAATTTGATGTATTTGATGGGAAGGGAAATCCTCGAGCCCATTTAAGGTCGTATTGTGACAAGTTAGTTGGAGTGGGGAAAGATGAGGCCATTAGAATGAAGTTGTTTATAAGGAGTTTGACAGGAGAGGCCCTTGATTGGTACACGAGTCGAGATCCACAGAAATGGAATAGTTGGGGTGCGATGGCGCAAGAATTCATGGATAGGTTCAAGTTTAACACTGAGGCAATTCCGGACAGGTTCTACTTGATGAAGTTGGAAAAGAAGTCAACAGAGTCATTCAGAGAGTATGCAATGCGGTGGAGAGCAGATGCCGCAAAAGTTCAACCTCCAATGGCAGAAAGTGAGATGACCTCTCTTTTTATACAATCCCAAAAAGATGCAACGTACTATGAAAAGATGATAAGTGTTGTAGGGCAAAAGTTCTTTGAGGTTGTCAGGATGGGAGAATTTATTGAAGAAGGTATTAAAACTGGGAGAATCACTAATTTGGCAGCCCTGCAGGCGACAAGTAAGGCAATTCAGTCGGATTCAATCGGAGGAGCCCTTAAGAAGAGGAAGGACGGTGTGTCTGCTGTCATGACCATCCAGGAACGTAGGCCAAACCAAATGTTAACCTACCAAAACCCATTACCCCAACCTTCATACTACAGTCAGTATACCCAAATTCCTCAACCCTATTATCAACCTTCACCTGCCCCTTACCCAGTTTACACCACCCAACCAACATATTGTCCACCTAGAGCACCTGCCTATTCAAATCAATCACGATACCAACCCGCATATCCAGCCCAATCCCACTACCAACCACAAAACCGTCCATCAAATGCACTCAGACCCCGCCCAAACTTTGAAAGAAGACCAGCCAAAACTTATACACCTTTAGCCGAACCTTTAGCCCAACTATATGAACGGTTGAGAACTGCAGGAGTAGTCCAGCCAATCCAAGGACGAATTCCCAATCCCCTTCCTGGATGGTATGACGAGACCAAGCACTGTGCATATCACTCTGGAGCTGCTGGACATGATACTGAAAGTTGCCTTACTCTTAAAGACAAGATTGAGGCATTGATCAAAGAAGGAATCATTCAACTCAAAGGTGTTGCCCCCAATGTAAACAACAACCCGCTGCCAAATCATGGCAATGTTCACATGATCACCGTTGATGAAGATTGCAATTTGGAAGGAACCATAGTACCAGTCAAGATAGAGAAGAATGTTGAGACATCGGCCTTTATCGCTCCAATAATCACAGTCCAAGTACGAGCGCCAATTAAAGTGGAAGCTTTTCTTCCTAAGCCTAAGATCGTGGCCCTTGCCGTTCAATCATCCCCTTTTGACACTAATGCAGTTCCTTGGAATTACTCGATGGATGCAAGGGACAAAGGAAAAGGAAAGATAGTTGTAGAAGCTGCTGCTGCAGGAATGACAAGATCCGGACGTTGTTATGCCCCTGAAGAAGTTGTACGAGGAGGACCAAACAAGGAAAATAACCAAAAAAGGGTTGTGACAGAGGCTGAAGTGGAAGATTTCTGGAGGAAGATGCCAACTAAGGAATATTCAGTTGTTGAACAGCTAAAGAAAACTCCTGCTCAAATTTCCTTAATGGCCTTATTGATGAATTCTGCAACTCATAGGAATGCTTTGGTAAAGGTTTTAAATGAAGCTTATGTTCCAGCTGAGACCACTAGTGAGAGCTTTTCTACCATGGTAGGACAAGTTTTGGAAGCTAACAAAGTCACCTTTCATGAAGATGAGTTGTTGCCTGAAGGTTTGGGACATAACAAAGCGTTGAACATTACTGTCAGATGTAGGGATAAGTTTATTTCCAGAGTTCTGATTGATAATGGTTCAGCTGTTAACATATGCCCTTTCACTACTCTTCGAGCTTTGGGAATTGACATTGGAAAGATTCGTGAAAGTCATGTAAGGGTTAGAGGATTTGATGGGACACAAAGGGGAGTCATTGGGGAAATTGATCTGCCATTGCAAATTGGACCTGTGGAGTTCATTGTAGAATTCCAAGTGTTGGATATATCTGCTAGTTATAATTTGTTACTTGGAAGGCCATGGATTCATATGGCTGGTGCGGTCCCTTCCACTTTGCACCAGACTTTGAAATTTGTGTGGAACCATCAGGAAATTGTTGTTCATGGAGAAGGTAACAACTCAATATATCCTGAAAATTCAGTCCCTGTTATTGAAAGTATGGAAGAGTTGGATGGGTCTGTATTCCATATTAAGGAAATTGTGTGTGCTACTCAAGTTGGAAAGGCAAATTTGCCACGTGTGCTTATGATGGTGGCTTGGGAAATGTTGAAGAATGGTTTTATCCCGGGTCAAGGTCTTGGAGCGAAATTGGATGGAATAGTGGAACCAATTCAATTGCCTGGTCAGAAATACACCTTTGGTCTTGGATACGAGCCTACTCCTGAAGAAATCTCGTCGGCCAATCTCAAAAGGAAAAGTGACAATCCCTTACCACAACCTATCCCGCCCTTGAATCAGTCATTTTCCAAGGCGTTTGCTGCAGAAGGATTAGAAGAAGCTGTTGAAGATAACCTCACAGAAGGACTCAAAAACTTGTTCATTGAAGAAACGGAATGCAATATGATTTTGGAGGACTGCACTGAGGCCCCGACCATATGGGATGCCATGCCTGGAGATGCTTTGAACAATTGGACTTGTAACCCGTCCCCGTTCCTCCGGGAATCTTGGTAGATGATTGTATTAGAATTAACAAAACAACATGATTCAAATTGAGGCCTGAATCGTGTTTTTGAATTTGATGTGTTTTGCCTCCGTCTTTTGAAAGCTTAAATGCCAAATCTATGTTACCTTTTTATGCTTTAAATTTTAAAATTTGTCCTTAATTATTTATTTTATTTTTATCTTTTTTCTCTCTTTCAGCAAGCAAACTAATAAATCTGTCAATGCCGAGAATGTGACATGTAATGAAACGAGCGAACAAACCCCGAACAGTGAACAAACTTTTGCAGAATATGAAGAAGATATGCAGTCTGGAGAGTTGACCAAGGAGTTTGAACATTTTGAGAATAAAGAAAAGCCAAACTTGGATGAAACAGAGACGATAAATTTGGGAGATTCAGCAGAGTTGGTGAGAGATACAAGAATTAGTGTCCATTTGACTTCGTCCCAAAGAAAAGAACTTATTGATCTTTTGAGACAATACATGGACGTGTTCGCATGGTCTTACGATGATATGCCAGGTCTAAGCACGGATATTGTTTCACACAGATTGCCAATTGATCCCTCTTGCCCCCCAGTAAAGCAAAAGCCGAGAAAGATCAAGCCTGATTTGAGTTTAAAGGTTAAGGAAGAAGTCTCCAAGCAATTTGATGCCAATGTCATTCGGGTCACCAAGTATCCCACGTGGTTGGCCAACATAGTACCAGTGCCAAAGAAAGATGGAAAAATCAGAGTATGCGTAGATTATCGAGATCTCAACAAGGCTAGCCCGAAGGATGATTTTCCTCTCCCAAACATTCATATACTTATTGATAATTGTGCAAAGCATGAGTTGCAGTCATTTGTTGATTGCTTTGCAGGATATCATCAGATTCTAATGGATGAAGAAGATGCGGAGAAAACTGCATTCATCACGCCTTGGGGAGTGTATTGTTATCGGGTAATGCCTTTTGGACTCAAGAATGCAGGGGCAACATGTATGAGAGCTATGACTACCATATTTCATGATATGATCCATAAGGAGATTGAAGTTTATGTAGATGATGTCATCATCAAGTCACGGAAGAGCTCAGATCATATAAGAGATTTGAAGAAGTTCTTTGACAGATTAAGGCGGTACAATCTGAAGTTAAATCCTGCAAAGTGTGCATTTGGTGTCCCTGCCGGGAAGCTGTTGGGTTTCATCGTGAGTAGGAAAGGGATAGAGTTGGATCCTTCAAAGATAAAGGCTATTCAAGACTTGCCTCCTCCAAAGAGTCGAAAGGATGTAATGAGTTTTCTTGGCCGCCTCAATTACATTAGTCGATTCATTGCACAATCTACTGTAATTTGCGAGCCAATCTTCAAGTTGCTGAGGAAAGATGCTGCAACAAAATGGACGGAAGATTGTCAGAAAGCTTTTGACAGAATCAAAGAGTATTTATCTAGTCCACCAGTCTTGGTGCCCCCAGAATCTGGAAGACCGTTGTTGTTGTATTTGTCAGTGTCTGACAATGCATTCGGATGTGTGCTGGGACAACATGACGAAACTGGAAAGAAGGAGCAAGCTATATATTACTTGAGCAAAAAGTTCACTCCTTATGAAGCTCAGTATACTTTATTGGAGCGCACTTGTTGTGCTTTGACTTGGGTTGCACAAAAGCTGAGACATTATTTATGTGCATATACCACTTTTCTCATCTCAAGGATGGATCCACTCAAGTATATATTTCAGAAGCCTATGCCCACTGGAAGGTTGGCGAAGTGGCAAATTTTGCTATGTGAATTCGACATTGTTTATGTCACTCAAAAGGCCATCAAGGGACAAGCGCTAGCTGATCATCTCGCTGAAAATCCCGTGGATGAAGAGTACATGCCTCTTAAAACTTATTTCCCTGATGAAGAGGTTTTATTTATTGGAGAGGATATTTCCGAAGAATATCCCGGTTGGAGAATGTTTTTTGATGGTGCTGCGAATTCCAAAGGAGTCGGTGCTGGAGCAGTGTTGATTTCAGAATCAGGTCAACATTATCCTATCTCAACAAAGTTCAGATTCCTATGCACAAATAATATGGCGGAGTACGAGGCTTGTATTCTTGGGCTTAGAATGGCTGTTGACATGAATATACAAGAATTGTTGGTTATAGGTGATTCCGACTTATTGATTCATCAGGTTCAAGGCGAATGGAGCACCAAGAATGTGAAGATACTCCCGTATTTGTTGTGTGTGAAAGAATTGTGCAAGAAATTCGTCAAGGTAGAATTCAAGCATATTCCACGAGCTCAGAACGAGTTTGCAGATGCGTTGGCAACCCTGGCTTCTATGAATCAACATCCAGACAAGAACTACATAGATCCAATCAAGGTCAATGTGCAAGATCAGCCAGCCTATTGTTTCCATGTAGATGAAGAACCGGATGGAGAACCTTGGTACTATGACATTAAGAGGTATCTTAGAAAAGGAGACTATCCAGAAGGAGTAAACAATGTTCAAAAGAAAACACTTCGGAGACTCGCAAATCACTTTTTCCTAAATGGGGAAATCCTTTATAGGAGGACTCCAGATTTGGGATTGTTAAGATGTGTTAACTCTCACGAGGCAAGCAAGTTGATTGAAGAAATACATGGGGGTACATGTGGGCCACACATGAATGGTTTCACTTTGGCAAAGAAGATTCTACGAGCTGGATATTTTTGGATGACCATGGAAACAGATTGCATCCGTTTTGTGAGAAAGTGTCATCAATGTCAGATTCATGGTGATTTGATTCGGGTTCCACCGAATGAGCTAAATGTGACGAGTTCTCCTTGGCCATTTGCAGCTTGGGGCATGGATGTCATTGGCCCTATTGAGCCAGCCGCCTCAAATGGACACAGGTTCATTCTGGTAGCTATTGATTACTTCACAAAGTGGGTAGAAGCATCTTCATACAAGTCTGTGACAAAGAAGGTGGTGACAGATTTTGTTCGCAATAACATCATTTGTAGATTTGGGATCCCCGAGTCAATTATTACAGATAATGGAGCTAATCTCAATAGTGGCTTGATGCATGAGATATGCGAGAAGTTCAAAATTATTCACCGCAATTCCACTCCTTATCGACCTCAGATGAATGGATCAGTTGAGGCCGCCAACAAAAATATTAAGAGGATATTGCGGAAAATGATTGATAACTACAAGCATTGGCATGAGAGTTTGTCCTTTGCCCTTCTTGGCTACCGCACCACAATCAGGACTTCGACTGGGGCAACACCTTATCTTTTGGTTTATGGAACAGAAGCAGTGTTACCAATGGAAGTCGAGATACCATCTCTGAGGATCATCCAAGAAGCTGAGTTAAGTGATGCCGAGTGGACGCAAAATCGGTATGAACAATTGATGCTCATTGATGAAAAAAGAATGAATGCGGTTTGTCACAGACAACTTTATCAACACAGGATGGCCAAAGCTTTCAACAAGAAAGTAAGATTGAGACAGTTTGAACCGGGACAATTGGTGTTGAAGCGAATATTTCCACACCAAGATGAAGCTAAGGGAAAGTTTGCACCTAATTGGCAAGGACCTTACATGGTTCACCGAGTACTGACTGGAGGAGCTTTGATTCTAGCAGAAATGGATGGCAAGATATGGCCAAAAGCTATCAATGCAGATGCGGTTAAGAGATACTACATCTAGAGGTTTCTATTTCATTTTCTTGTAATCTTTTTGTCATGTATTGGAAACTACGTCTTGACCTGATTCCCATGGCGGGATACGTAGGAAATCCACATCGGATTTGGTCCTTTAGTAGGTTTTGCAAATTTCCTTTTTATGTAATATGAACTACGTTTGGCCTGATACCCTTGGTGGGATACGTAGGCGGCCTATATCGGCTTCGGTCACTTTATTAGATTTTTTTATTTGTATGTAGCGAACTACGTATGGCCTGATTCCGTTCGGATACGTAGGCAACCCGAGAAGGGTTCGGCCCCTTTATTTCAATTTTTGATTGTGTCCTTAGGTTATGTTTGGCTTGGTGCCATAATAGAATAGTGTGCAACCTATAGAAGGTTTGGAATCATCGTGACCAAAGGACAATGCATCTCTTTCGCAAAAACTAGGACAATTTTTAAGGGTATTGTTGCAAAAAGATATCAAGATATTTGAAGAGTATATGGTCAATCGAATCATCCAACAGAAGAAAGACTTCAGATAAAGGACGTTCGCTTTGTTTCATGACATGTCACAATTTGAAGTTCGACAAAATTCTTGCTATATATACATATAATTTTATCTTATTTTCAAAAATGATTTTCAATCAAATGTTTCCTTTTTATTTATTTTCTTGTCATTCATTTAACCAAGATTTAGAACAGACGGAGGTTATGAGTCCAAGCGAAGCTGGAAGAAAGAAGTATGGAAAGGGACCTTCAAAGTCAATGCGAATCAACCTCCCCCAAAACTTATAATTTTTCTTTGAGTGCAGGTTTGTCAGGATCAATAGAAGCTGAGAAATCAATAACATCTATAGCATCGAAAGGACTATATGTCGAGTGGTTTGAATTACTTACTTATAAATTTATGATTCAAAAACTTATAAGTAAGGCTTTATAAATTTTCAAATATGTTGATAGCAAATACTATTTAATAAAACATTGCACATGATTTTGCTCTACATAAATGCTTTTAATGTACTGCACAAATGCTTTCAGATATTTCCAAGCGCACTGCACATTTGCTTCGAGATATATTTCAAAAACACCGCACAAATGCTTTCAAATTTTCGCATGCATGCTTTCACATACTTTATACGCACTGCACAAATGCTTTCAGATATTTTCAAATGCACCGCACAAATGCTTCGCACATACGCATATTTCCAAATGCACTGCACGAATGCCTTCAATTATTTTCAAACGCACTGCACAAATGCTTCTAAATATTTTCAAATGCTTTATATTTCGCACAAAGGCATATTTTCAAATGCACAAATACTTTCAAGTATTTTAAAAAGGAATCCCACATTGCTTTATCGCTTTTTCTAATGCATTGCACAAATGTTTTCAGTTGATTGCACATATGCTTTCAAATATTACTGCACAAATGTTTTACCAGTCTGCATTGCTTTCAATGACCTCCTTTTCACAAATCACCTAACTTAAAAAGTCTCATTTTTAAATCATTTGGCTAAAAGCCTCATATACATAATTCATTTGGTTAAGGCCTCATTTTCATTAATCATCGCTGAAAAGCATCATTTCTCATGAATCATCGGCCTTAAACCCTTTTTCATAAATTCTGCAAGATTTCATCTCATTAAGTCATTTCGGCTTGCAAGGCCGCATTTTCATAAATTCACACCCAGGAGGTGTTATTTCCATATGTTTATCGCACCATGCTTTATATTTCGTATTATTAATTGTTTTGTCAAGTTTGAGTTCTGCAGGAGCTTTAGCACAACGTGGAACTTTATCTAAGCAGTGAACTGGGGCAATTTGTTGAGAAAGTTTAGCTTTCCAACAAAGATCAAAGGTCCACCTCGAACTCTATTCGACTCCAATCTTAAATACTTTCCTAGATCACAATACCAGTAACGTCATAATTCAATACTGGAGCAACTTTTGTAAGCTTGCGGCTACTTTGTTCCCAAAATCCTCTACCTCATAAGTTATCCAATGTTCATATTGTCTCATAGTCTCCTAAGGTTGTATTTGTTGGTCGGGAAAAATTGGCTATTACGTCAACTTCTTTGCCCAAAAACTCTTACATCGTCTCTGGTCAAAGAGGGACAAGCTGTTGACATCCAATTTTGACCCTCCTTTCTTCTAATTTTCGAGCTTCTAATTTGATAACATGTAAAATAATCCTTTTTCACAACTATTTTTACTATTACGACTATTTATCTATTAAAATTATTAGTTTTATTATCGAAATTACTAATATTACTATTTATACCTCTTTTCCTTAAATAATCAATTGTCGTCAGTTTATTTCAAGTTTCGTATTTTATTGAATTAATTATAAGTCAATATTCTTGTATCTTTATTTTATATAAGCGTAAAGTCGTAATATTAATAGTTTTGTCTTACTATATATTATATTAGTTACCAAGTTAGAAGCCATAAATAATTTAAAAGAAGAAGGAAAAGGCCCACAATTTAGGCTAGCATTTCAGCCCATTTGCTACACTAAAATCTGTCTGAAAGAAGCCCAAAATTCGGTCCAAAGCCTCCAAGAGAGACCAAAACGTTTCAGCCTTTGTTTTATATCAAAATGTCCAAAAATAGCCCAAAAATTCAGCCCAAAAGCCAATTTTTCAGCCCAAATTTCAACCTAATATTAAGAGAGCAGCAACTGCCTTATCTCTCTTCTTCCCTCCCATTTCAAAAAAAAAAAAAAACAACAAGGTCTGTCAATGGCTGACAGAGCTCAACTACTCCATTTCCGTGATATATGCATATCAATCGTGTGAAGGCTGCTATGTTCAACTACTCACGTCATTCAAGTTTGAACGGTTATCTTGACCAAGTTCAAAAATCTGAAATTTTCAAAATCCCGCCCAAACACAGCCCTAGCTCTAAATTGCCTATAAATACTCGCATTCAGCCCTATAAGAAGGGGGATTTTTTTTACCTCTGAAGGAGACGTTCATTTTGTTTAAGTTTTTCCATTGCGCCAGATTTGACCTTGGATCGAAGCACCCTTGTTCACTGCCCTATAGCAGGTAAATTCACTCCATGTTCTCCCTGTTTTCTTGGTTACTATATTAAAATGTTACATATGTCGTAGTAATCTCTGCTCATTTTAGCTATGATAGAACAACGTTTCAGATGTGTTTCGACTTATTCAAGACTCGTAATAATCGAAAGTCGTTTTTCTTTCATGTTCAACCATCTTGTAGTTTAAAGAAATGAGTTCTTTTTGTGCTTAAATCTTTATTTTAAGTCAAGTTAGTGTTGTTGTGATTTAATGACCTCTTATGTCTTTACTTAGTAACCAATCTTAAAGTTCTATCGCAAGCTACTCGTTTCCTAGGAAGTAATTGCAAGCATACTGGATGTTAGTTTTCCATTATATATGATATGAATTTTTGCTAAGTTTATTCCCTGTTATATTTCCCTTAGCAGACATGTATGTATTATGTATGTGTTCCTTTTCAGATTGTAAGTAACGGCATATTAAAATCTCAAATCTTGTTTGATGTGATATCTCTTTAGATAATGATAATCTCCTTATAGTTAATATTAATGGGTTGATTTCATATTTTATTAGAACGATAAATCATGTTTAGTAAATAATTCTATTTAGTTTAGCCATAATGGCAATGAATTATTTTCGAGATTGATATAGCACTTGAGCTCTGTTTCTTGGCATATTAGACAACTTGATAATATTACTTGAAATCAGTTTTCTTGTTAGTTAATGTCCCTCTGACGTCTTTTGTATGATGAAATTTTTTTTAGCTTGTGTTTTGCTCTTACTTTAAAAGTATGCTAAAAAGAGTTGATATTTGTTGTTGATTATTTTTAGAAATGATATGCAAGTTATTCTTAATTTGCTTTATGTGTTTATTTTATTTATTTATTTTTGTTAGAGTAAGAAAGATCATGATCCTTGGCATGTTATCTAAGATTTCTATATTGTCTCTATGTGTACAAAATATAGATTTAAAATCCTTTTGCTTAATTCATTAGTTAGTACAGTTGGATGTTTTGATTTTCTTCCAAGTGTTTCGTAAGGGCTACTTAAAATGTCTTAATATCTTAGTTTGAGTTTTTCCGTTCAGCATTAGTATGCTTTATATGTTAAATATTATATTTGATGTATGATGTTACTTAATTAGTATTATCTATTTTTATAATATTGCTTAAAGTCGAATATCTTACTAATTCATTTTATCTTCTCTTTGTTTGCATGAATACTTTGGAACAAAAATGGAGTCCCGATTAAGGACTCTCGCAAAATCGAGTCTCATAGACTCAACATTATCCTCATACCCGCACATGGAGTTTTTTTCACTACATATTTGACCATTCGAAATTGCAAGCGAAATTAGTGGCCCTGTCTTGGAGTCACTTGTGGCTACTTACATTTTTTTTTCATTATTTGTTTACATGTTTTTCTTTATATGTTACACTAGTTTACGTGACTTGAAGATATTCTTATCTTTGAATTCTCAAATAGGTAACTTAATATAGATGTTTGGGTTTGGGTACCTTTAGCTAGCAATAAACCTATTAGTTAATTACTTTAGCTTTTATTAACTTCACTTGAAAAAATCTTCTTAAACACTTCATTTTGCATCACTTTAAACTCACTAATTTTTCTTAGTTTTGTTTAAACTTGGCAATGTCTTATAAAGAAAATATTTTGTTCTAAACCTTTTTTCTTTTTCTTCTTTCTTGAACTTTTTCTAACGAGAGTACCTTGTCAATCAATGAACAAGCGTCTATTTTTAAGTACTTATTTTTAGTCATGGATTTATCTAAATGGATCTAAAGAAATTACTCTTCCCTAAATCTTTTTCACTCTAATACAATTGTAATAAGAGCTTTAAAATAAATAATGTTTTCCAACTTGGCTACTCAATTACTTAATCTTTAGCATTCATTTCTTTTAAAAAAAGTAATTAACCTAAGTTTGGCCGGTTAATAGTTTTAAAACTAATCTTAAAGGATGCCTTACCCCTTCCCTTT